GCATGAAATCCCCCCGCATTCACGAGCTGTGGTAGGAACGGGAGTCGCGATTGACCCTCCCAAACATACCTATACACGAATAGCTCCATGCAGCGGACTAGCTGCATGAGGAATTGATGTGGACGCAGGAGTCGTCGATCCAGATTACACTGGGGAACTCAAGGTCGTACTAATCAACACAACAGATTTCGTATTTTCGGTCAAGCCGGGAGATAGAATAGCCCAAATAATCTTCAAGTATTATGCAGAAGGGCTTCCCTCCTGAAGCTACCAACCATTGCGAGCAACTAGAAGGGGTAATAAAGGTTTTGGCTCCTCGGGACAATGAGCCTTGAGAGGGGGGTAGTGTCACAGATTTTTGCCACAAAGTCCGCACGTGACTTTTCTCACACCACAGATCATGTGCTTCACCAATATCTCATGCCACTCAGCCACAGACGTGACGCGTAGAGATCAGGTGATAGTCCACATCACATGTTATGGTCCAGACCCGTGGATGATACAGTCGGACCTGTCTATTCCAGGATACAATAGAGGCACCCATTTGGGAACAAAGGGAACAGGGACTATTGTCATGCATCGGCCTTCCGCTTCCTATTAGTTTAGCCAGAAGCCTAGATAGGTACGATGTTCACACTGGAGAACAAAAGGGAAACCAAGATAGGCACGATGTGCACACGCATTGCTGCGGCAACCATCGATCTTCCCACTTATTGTTCTACTTCCGGACATCCTATTGTTTCATGTACCGCCATTTGCTTATACCCGTAGATAGGTAGCTTAGGTAAGATAGCCTGCTGTATGTGTATATAAGACCAGCCATGTAGGGGACGAAACCTCAGATTGTTTCTCCTCGTCTACTACCTGTAGCACTCACTGAGCTCACCAGCTCCTTCATATATCTCTCACCCTTTCCTGCATCTGCCAACATTGACCAGTAAGTCAACAGGCTCTTGCGCCACATAGGGTTCAGGGGGATACCTTTGGGATCAGGGGGATCAGGGCGGCACGTTCCACGTGACTGTCCCTTTTTAGTCTTTTTGATCTCTTGTCCGGTGTTACCGTGACACTGGTATCCTTGGCATCATCAGCAAATTCCTTGAGCAAATTGCATAGCTCATCACGGTGGATCAAGTGACTGTTTCTCACTAGCGGTAAGAGACCGCCTGCTGTGATCTGTGCCTCACCAAGATCAAGAGTGAGAGAATAGGTGACTGCAGATTCATCAAGCAGCTGTTTGAAGCCAGATGTCTCATGTTGCAACAGAAATGCAAGCGCATTCCATGTGGAAGAAGAATCCAGGGGCCCGTGACATAAGGGAATGGATGATGCCATTGAAAGATGGCACAGCACTGGTTCTAAGAGCGACAGGGTCCAACTACAGACATCAGTCAGAGTGATTGAGTGCAGGAGCCCGATGGCGATGATCAGAAATGGTAAGGCATCAAGAATTCTGTTCAGCGTCAAATGTGGAGGAGCCCTAGTAGGATGCATGCTGAGGAAGATGAGGCGGGAAATTGTTGCATGTGAGGTTGGCATCAGCTATATGACTTACCAAGGGAACAGAAACCTAAAGATCTCCAAATCTGACATGTTGCGACCTAGCGGAAAAGCGGGTATCAGAATGGTGAATTGGAATTTAATTAAAATTCCAGAAGTCGGTAATGATCTATCGTGGAACTTATGTATCGTGGCACTTGTTTGAGCCACGCATTGTTACTTCTGCATCACGTTTGGCCAAATCGGACCTGCTCAGGAATCGTCTCTCAGCTGATTTATGGTACGCTTGTCAGGAAATGCGGCGGGGGTGGGGAAGGGCATAATGCGTGTTCGGTGCAGATGTCAAATGAACGCGCCGGTAGATTTCACATCCTCTCCTAGCATTTCCATGATATAGTGCTATTCCAGTAAACGCTAAACGACATGCATTGAGTGCTCCAGCTCATCTGCGCTGGCCACATGGCCGATACCTGGGGCAAGGTCCAAAACTTGCCTCTGCGTGATCGCGTGAGCCACCAGCTTCGACACATCCTCGTTCTTGTACCCGACGACTTCAGACCACGTGGTGTACAGATTTTCGAGGAAGCGTGCGATCACCTCAAACAGATGCATGCCGATCTCTGAGCCGGGGATGGAGGAGATGCTGGAATCAGCGAATATCATGCGTAGCAAGATTGTGAGCGCCTCGCATTGCCAGGAAGGAGAAGACAGTGCAATGAACTGGGAGATGGCAGGTGTGAAAAGTGCGGCACGTTTCAACATAGCGTCATCACATTTACGCAGCTCAACAACACCATCACTGCCGTCATGCTCAGGCAGGACCACATGCTCACAGTCACTAAAGCAGATGAGGTGCTCAGCTGCCAGGGCCTGAACTGCTCTGCCCAGCTAGGCTACGTTGTCGGATCACCCACTGATGTCGTGGGCCACATGGACAAGCCAGTCCAGTCTATGGCGTGGAAGGTGGGCAGGCCGTTGAAGAACAGGGTCGTCGTGGGCGTTGCAGTGTGCAATGGCTTGCAGAGGGTGTTAGTAACTTTAAATAAGCAGCAGTATTGAATGCCTCTGCCTATAGATGGTTTAGAATGCCTGCATCATACAGCATGACCTGAGCATTGTCAGTAAAAGAATGATGACCTTGCTCACTGACACTATTCTTCTGGAGAGTGTAGGGCACAGTCAGCTCTGCAACAATTCTATTGTCCTAGAAGTATGCTGCCCAACCCTCATTATTGAATTTGGTGCCATTGTCAAGGTGAATATGGCACAGCTTGCAACCCATTTGCTGCTCAGCCATGTGGTGAAAAATGGCATAGCATCTCCTCCATGAACTTGTTTGTGAGAGGATAAATCATGATGCACCATCATTGATCATCAAGAGATATTGAGCACCATCTAGAGAGTAACAGGAAAAGGTTCCATCAAGTCCATGTAAACACGTTCAAGAAGCTCTGTCTTGACCTCAGATGGACAAAATGGTGCATGTATTTGCTTTTCTTTCAGACAATTTTCGCACTTTTCACTAGGATGTTCTCCCTTCATGATTATATCAGAAACCACATTAGACCATGCCATTTTCTGGACAGTCTGCTCACTGATGTGACTGCATTTGTGGTGTCAAGTTGTGATGTCAGTCGTGGAACTGTGACCATTGACAGCTAAAGCATGGTAATCATAAGCTAGGTACATGTGAGAGAGATCTGGCAGTGCAGCTAAGTCAACCTTAGTAAATTTCACCTCATACAGATCACCTGATGTCAAGGTACAGGTGAACATGGTCTTTTCCACCCTCCCATCATGTTTATCACTTCTGTCACTTCAGAGAATGAGTATCTGGCATGATCAAGGTGTGGCATCAATATCAAGTCAGCTGCAAGGTCAGGAGTATGGATAGCATTCTGAAATGTGATGATGAACATTCATTTATCTATCACCATTTGTACAGTGACATTTCTCATACCTACTATGGAGAAGGAGGAGCCCTTTTTTACTCCATTTCTCCAGCATAGAAGTGAGGAGCATACAATTGATGAAACGCACACAATTCATGAAGCAGTGGTAAGTGGCACCTGTGTCCACATAGGCTCTCAGTATTTCACTGCAGATCAGCTCAATATGGAAAAGATCCACAAGGTAAGCACTGGTCAGGAAAATATGATAGTCATGGTTAGATGCATGCCTATCTCCAGCATTCATTGAGTGTGCAATAGCTGTGGTAAGGTGGGCCTGTGATGCAGCTTGAGGACCGGACATGGTTGTCACAGACATTATTGCCATCAATGTTACCATGGCCTGTTTGGCTGCCAATGTCTTCACTGCAGGTGAGCCTTTCTTAGAGACAGATTTCTGATGGCTGCTGACCCTCTCATTCTCTGCCCTCAGAGAAGCAATTTAACTGCAGATGGCCCCTTGCATTGCACCACTCAATTATCAACATGGCCTTCACATGCATCATAAATGCACTCGTGGTTTGTGGTGTAACTTGATCATCAGATTAAGTGGGTTACTGACCTATATGTGGTCATTCTTGAGGATTGACTCCATAATGACATCAGGATCAGTTTGCATAATAAGCAAGATACATGTGGATCTGAGAGATGGTAGATTCAATATCAAGTTGCACATGATAATTGCAAATTTAGCAGAATTGAATGTAGATTCCAGGTGGTGTGCAGCATGGCAGCAATGGTGAGGTTCTGTGAAGTGGTTCTGTAAGTTTGTTCCCTCAGTCCGAATGCATGCCTTGAGATAATCCCCAGCATTTGTGATTGTCAACACCATCTTTCGCTCCCACTTCTGCACTAGAGCAGTCCACACTTCATGTGCAGTCTTCCCCTCTTCCTCCACCCCAGTGCCAATCAAGTTGACAACATTCAATGTGATAATGGCCTTCGCAAGTTCATTATGCTTGTCTCACAGCTGCTGCTCTGCTATGGCAAGTGTGACATCACCTGGATCTGCATCTAGGGTGCCAGGGATGATCATGTAAGCATTCCAGTAAGGTGCACATATAGGCTTTGAATGTGAATTATCTTGCCTTTCCAGTCAAACCAGTTAGCTTTGCCTAGCTGCTGGCTCTTCTGGAAGGATAGGCATCTTCACATTGGTGGTGGCTGCCATGATGAAATACTAGTATAAATATTGATAATTGTTCTTGAATATTGAGGAGTCAATGTCTGATGTGACATTTTATATGGCTATATGCACTTTTTGGGACTCATAACCTGTTACAATTGCAAGGCTAAGTCTCAGCCACACCATACATCAACTTACTCAGCTTTATTGATGTACTGTACCTGTTACAATTGCTAGGCTAAGCCTACTCGATACAGTCAGTTCTGGGTCTGATAAATAAAGGGAACATGTCTGAATACTTATCTCAGCTGCACTATATGTCAACATACTTGACTGAGGTGCTATCTATGAGGAACACATCTCTAAGTACAATGTGCATTTTGGTCATGTGACTATGCTGTCAAAACTGTCAATCCCTTTCTCCCTCATTCTCCCCATAGTCTCTGAGTGGTCTCCTTCCAACAAGCCTTCCCTCGAGAAAGGTCACAGACTAGTCAATAGAGTTGGACTGATCACACAAGAGTGATATGAATGGCCATGAACTAATCCTGGCAGTGGACTATGTTGACTTTAGGCACAGAACTGGCCAGTAGACACTCAATCTCCACCAGTGATGAAGGTAATCTGAGGTACAAACCAATGAGATTCATGGCTCTATGCACATGTATTTATATACATGTGAAGCTCCTGCACACAGATCATCAAGAGCTGACAGTGATGCTTAGCAATACCCAGTGTGATATTTCAACAGACTAGTCATGACTGGCAGACTGGTCAAGTGAAGGAACTAAGTTACTGATCTATTGGGCTGACTGGTCTCCATAATATGGACTGGTAAAGTGAAAAAAAACCCCCCCCAGTTATCAGTCCATTGAGGCAGATTGGTAAGGCTTACTGTATTTAATAGCAAATTGGCCATCTAAATGGTCACAGATTGATCTGAAGGGGTAGACTGATATGAATGAGTTGCCTTAAGCCTGACCCATGAAAAGCTCACAGACTAGTATATGAAGTGGACTGGTCAGGCATGTTCAATCAGAAATGGCTGCCTGGATACTGATGGATTAGTCTGAAGGAAGACTGGTATGATGAATTGACCATGAGGCTGCCCTTTATAAAGGTTGCAGACTAGTGCAGTGGACTAGTCAGTAGGAACACTGTGATCTGGTGGGGAGAACAGCCACTGACTAGCCTGAAAGTCAACTGGTATGGCTGAGTAACCTCGAGTCTGATCTCTAGACAGGTCACAGACTAGTCTACGCATTGAACTCATTAGGCATGTCCAACATGAAGTGACCATGTGAAACATCACAGACTGGTCTCAAGGAGGTAGTGCACACTCAAGCAGGCACTATTGCCATCCAGGAGAATGTTCTTGATGATGTAACAAATCAGCACTTCATCTCTTCCATGCACTTGAATAAGAGGTTTTTATCTGATATGCATGACAATATCCCAGGCATACTATCACCCAGAAATATTGGCAGATAATCACATGAACCTGAGTTTTGTGAACTATCTCATCTGATCAACTCACTGCCATTCCATCCAATAAATATGCAGCCAGCTGACCAGCTCACAATGACATCAATTGCTATACAAGGTGTCTCAGATGGCTTCTTCTTGAAGCAACTGAACTGACCTTGAACAGAGGCAGTGCTGGCTGAAATTTCCATCAGCCACACAGGGGGCATCAGGTCATGATTCTGATGAAATCATTTTGATGACATTGTGATCACAGTCACAATGTTGCACTCAATGTTACCACATTTCACATCGGCAGAAAATAATGATTTTTCCTCATGATGCAAATGCAGTGTTCCATGAATGATACAGAGCCAACTATGCATTCTGCATGGTGATTGTGCTCATTAAAATCACAAGTGAAGTATTACAATGAACATTGTGGCTGCATTTTGAATTGCAGCACAATGTCTCTGCCAATAACATTTCAGCATAATCATATGTAGCATTCGGAATGTGAAGCAGATATGATTGGTAGTGAAATAGCAGAAGCATTGCTGAGTTATCATATGTTTTATTACCATGCCTTCAAAATGTCATCAACCACATCATCGGTGAACGCACACTGCATACATTATATATTATTCCCTGGAACATCATGAGCAAACAGTCAATTAAATCAGCATATCAATGTCATGTATTCACGATGACACATGCATTCTAAAGCAGGATGCAGCACAGAGGCATGTTAGGAAACATTGAGTAATCAGCGAGGATATTTCCTGCATGTGCACAAAATGTTTTCGGTCAAATCATTCTGAATAAATTAATTTAAAGATATACTTAATGATTAAGTATAATATAAATTCTAAGCATCCGTGATGAGTCAGATGACTCATCACAGCTCTCATTTGCACTTCATCTGAGTGGCCAGATTGAGGTGGAACATGGCACCCCCTGTGGCACAGAGCCATCAGTGCTGGCCTAGCAAAAGATAGTTACTCTGTGTATAGACCTACTCCATGGCATCATCAAACACCCAGGATCAGATTGTGAATGAAGACACCATTGCAAAATGATGAGGTGAGTGCATTTCATGCCGGAGATGAGCAACGGCCACACAGAGTGCAGATGTGTTCATGTCTGTGTATATCTCAGATGGAAGATGATACCACTCTAAGCTGCATGTTGACTGGCTACCACGGGGATGGGCACTAATGACCTCTCGAATGAAAACAATCTGTCAATTCATCCCATCGCAAATTCTGGATCTTGGAATTAATATCATTTCATGAATACAGGGCACCATCAGAGATGGCTCGCCCTGTGGAGCCAATATTAACATGACGTGACATGCATGTCACGATGAAGGAAGACATAGGAAATAATGTTCATAGATTGCCTTAATGTGTTTTCTCTGGATAGTGAGGATGGTGAGCTGAATAATGGTGAGGCATGCTTCATTGATGCTGAAGGACTGCTGGTGAGTCTATCTCAGTATCTCACCTGCCATACTCATTTCTACCCCATTCTTCATACACAGCAATGCTAGTGAATCAGCTTTCATCTGCTTTCCTCATGACCATGTTTCTCTGTCTCAATTCTCTCTGTTGTGTGTGCAGATCTCGTAGTACACCTCCTAACTGAATTCTGGCTCTAGCACTCTCCTTCTTTGACCTCCTGGCTGTTCTCGCATCTCTCCAGGTATCAAGGTACACCACGACCATGGGCTTTGTGGATGGGATCTCACATTGTCACAACTGCAGGACATGGGACCATCTGTGCCATGACAATGCAGTATGGAGCGTGCTGTTTGAGCAGTGTCAGCTGAGTGGTGGGACATTGACCTATGACACGCGGGCAAGCACTTAATTCTGATTCACCACGGCCATTCTCTGTATTGAGGATGATTGTGCTAGTGCCATTCGGAATCACTACAAGACTTATGGGACATGCTTGGAGCTCGATAGAAGATGGGTGCAGGTGCTGCTGGCAAGTATGAGCACACATGTGGAGGAGTACCAGGATCGCTCACAGAAGTTGAAGGTGAATGGGTATGATAACAGGTGTGCTAGGTCCTGAAGGCAGAGGCCCTGAGGCTTACACTCTTTGCCTTTGGGGAGAGGAGTCACAGCACATTGATGCATTTGACATGCTTGCCATCCATGACAATGGTGCAGCAATGTTCTGCAGATGGGCAGTGGGCTCAGAGGTGCATTTTCTGTCTCTTCTAATAATGATTGTCCTCATTTATGGCACCTTCAGGGCCTTCTTCTGGTGTGTGCTTTCTCAACCAAGCATGCATGCTCTGATTGAGATATGCACATTCCCTACAGAAAGAGAAGCCCATGCAGCTGGTTTCCCATTTGCTGACCACAAAATGCAGTGCATTGCTTAACTCGATCATGCAACTGGCAATGTTATTTTTCACCATGCTGGCTGATGAAGCAGGCAAGGATCTCAATGGGCTCATTGGTGAGCACTCCCCACCATGGGCACACACCGGCGCCTACATTTTCTGGCACATTCACTCACTGGCAGATCATTGTGGAGGTCCTCTCACTATTCTATGAAGAGGCTGGGCAGCTACATGATGCGGGCTGAGGCAGTGACAGTGCATTCATGATGTGACATCCTCTGAGGCACTACACCACTCCAAGATGGTATATGGCTCTCGTCACATGAACTCATGCTGTTGGTCATGGTACTCTGCTTTGGTGCGGTGACAGACAGTGAGCTTCCTGCACTGCCACATATCATTGAGGCAGAGCAGAACCTTCAACTCACACCCATGGCACTGAACCTTGAGTTAGTGCTGGAACAGCCACCCAGCCTGGTGACAATGTAGAGCTGAGCTTAAGGACTATCTACCAGGTATAAAGGGCTATCATGATGATGTGGTGTAGAACATCAGTTGTTGATGCCACACATAGTGTTTGATAGCAGATGAAAGACAAAAACAGCATAGAAAGCACCTGGGCATCCATGGGCCTCAGCTTGAAACTAGCACAAAGTGTGCTTCTCTGGCTCACTGCTTCTGTTTCTTCAGTGTATCATTGACCTGCGTCACCCTCTGCAGATCGGACTCCAGGAGCAGATCCTTCACAGTCTGATAGATACAAATTGATGCATTTCTCACATTCATTTTATCCAGTCCTGCGTTCGTTGCATTCCTGCAGATGATGACTGTGCACATTGAGAGCTCACGGAGGGCCGAGGTGCAGAGGCAGCAAGTGCTCTTTTAAAAGCTGTTCATCATGGACCACTGGCAGGTAAGTTGCACTAGGGGAGCACAAATAATATCATATATTGATTAAATCGATCACTAGGCTCTCGCCACTGGTCAACTTCCAACATCTTCATTGTGCTTCATCAATGCTGAGCTCCCAGCTGACCTGGATAAAATGATGGTGGATAACGATACTTTCTAACCAAGCTATATGTGCCTGATCTTCTCCTGTTCACATTTTCACCCATCGCTAATGCCCTTTCCTCAGTCCGCTCATGGAAAGTTCAACATTGATCCAACCATGATTTATGAGGAGCTTCTTTTGCCGGAATGCAAGACTGTATACATGAACTGTCACAATCTGCAACTCGAGCATACAACCTGAAGTTTCATGGGTGGTGGCTTCAGAGATTGGTCACTTTGTCTACTAGCTTTGCCTGGATGTTCAGCATGCAAGATGGCTATCCTTTTCATTAGACACTTCTGATGTTACAGATGAAGTGTTAATGCAGTGCATCAGTGAAGGCTTCCGTTCAACTGATGGGTGGAATTGATGGGGTGCAGCTTCTATGTATTCTAGCACCTGGACAACCACTCATTTCCAATCTGCATTTTTGGACCCATGTGTGAGCTCCTGCCCAGGCTGTGGTGCTGCTGTAAAGTGTCACATACAAGTAGCATAGCCTCAGCTGCAATAATGGACAAGAAATCTCATGATCGCACTCATAATGCCCATGCTACTGGGTAATGTGGTCACCTTGATGAAGCACTGGTAAATTATGGTATGTGGTGTCTGATATCATTAATCCAATACCATATTCTGACAATGTGGCAATATACGATACCCTGGAGCCACTCAGTCATTCTCTTTTACATTCCTCCATCCCCTGGCAATGCGCAAAGCTGTGATGGTTTGTTGGGTGCAGCACGTTGATCATACGTTGGCCTCTTCATGGATTTGCACTCAAAAGCATGTTCGACTTATCTCACTCAGCTTTATGACTTCATCTTCAGCTTCCACGCTCATGACCCACATGTGAAATGGGACACTTCACTTGACCTCAGTTGTGGAACCAGTGCATGATGTCTTGCATTCATTTCTTCATCATCCCATTCAACACCAACATTGCTTCCAGGACAAGTGACCCTCGAGCTCATCCCACACTTCATGCACATCATCAGCACAGACCCCTCATCGTGCATGATTGCACAGGCCATCAAATCCCTCCACTCTCACTCACACCTGAAGGCATGTGTGCATTTTGTGCAGAGCATGGTGAAGGAGCTGGGATGGCTGGGGGATGGGAGTGTTGACATTATCATATCTGGTGCATGCTGTGGACTGTACACTGACAGTGGATTTGATGTGTGAGGACAGTGCAAGCTGTGCATTGGTTTGACTGGATGAGGCTCTGGCCTGAGGTGGCACATGTGCTCCATCCTGGAGAGAGCTTTGCTGCACGGATGCATCTTGTCTCCTCTCCTTTCCTCTCTCATCCTCTTAGCATGCTTTCTGCAGGGCTACTCACAGTTCTGGCTTATGCATCACCCCTCATGTATGCCACTCATCCATGCCTACTTACAGGACATGCATGCGCTCAGACCATACTGGAAGTGCCTAGGATAAATGATCCTTAATGAGCACCTGCTCATGATCCCCAATCCATCCAGCAAGACATGGGGTGAGTTCCAGTGAGAGTACTTCACAGGTGTGAGCAGCCTCACTCACCTCCTCTCCCCAAAACAAAAACAAAAACAAATGCTGATCATGCTATCATACAGGCAATCATTATCCTTCACTGCCAGCTGCATGCCCGGTGCTTTTTAAGATGTGCACAATGTGGGTAGGCATGCTCAGGTATCTGCACACAATCAGTGCACTGCACAATTTCCATGAAGCACACCCTGAGGACCTCTAGCACCCCAAAGGTGACATTGTGGAGCAGTTCTGGTGGGAGCTGTGGGAATGGGTCATGCAGAATAAGGGCAAGGAGGTGGAAGGTGAGGAGGAGAAGGTGGAGATTGAGCGGCCCATGGCACTCTTGCTTGCATGGCGGGTGTGAGGGGTATGTTTGTTAATGGGATGGTCAGCCAAGTGTGTTGAGATTTGGGCAGTGTAGCAGACTCTTGGAGTATTGATGTTGCAGCTGGAAGAAGCTGTGAGCATCCATCACTTCCTGCTCAATCTACATTCTTTCATGATTAGGCTTTTTCTGCCAGCACCGTAAGCAACTTGTCATGCTGATGTGATGGCGATCATCTTGACTGCACCATTTCTGTCGAACGAAATGACAAGAACCATTCAGGATGATAACACTGGAGTTTGATGCTACTCACAGCTCAAGCAGTCGCTGAATATCCAGACCATTTGAGGCAACACTGAATAAGGGGGAACATCTCGACCTGTAGCAATGCATGGCTTCATTCAACATGTGGTGACTGCCAGATGCTTGTTCTGTTCCTGGACACATCAGCAAGAAAGATTGGAAGTGACCTTTTTTATTCCCACCCTCAGGATCATCACAATTTATTCACAGTCCCACCCTCAGGATCATTGCAATTTACTCGCAGTCCCTCTCTTGTGGCCCGATCATCATACACTGGTGCATACTATTATGTGGACTGACATGATGCATGGATGCATAGAGGTTCGTGACTGTTCTAATGTGGCATCTTGAGTTTTTGATAGATGGCAGATCGCAGGTACTTGCAAGGTCATGCGAGTCAGTGTATCGGTGTGACGGTTTTATGTGAGAAGGACCTCGCTGTGCACTATTTACTCATACCACATTGACAAAACTGATGCATAATGCATACTAGGTCACTGGTGCTGTGGTCGCTTGGGTGCAACAGGTTAGTACATGGCGCAGTGATCTGGAGATTTGTCAGTGTGGCATGCGGACTTGCCCTGACAGGTGCATTATGCTCCTTTGTACGTCTATGTCACAATTCTGAAGGCTTGTTGCTCTGACATGTCCAATCGCTCTGATAATTGTGAGCTCATTTTCGGATGAGATAATCTGCTATATTTGTTCACACAGAGATCATGCCGTGTACAACATAATGCATTGGCATCACGCTGATAGATGCAGTGTAGTGTTTACAATTGCTTCATTCTTGAAGGTTGCATCATACGTCCTTTGGGCAGGTATACAGCACAGCATCCTCTTAGAGCATTCGGTATGCATAATGACCATGATGTGTTTCTCGAGTGTCTTTAGCTATGACAGTGCATGCAATCAGCAACTGAAATGATTTTTTTCTGTTGTTGTGCTGAGGCTAAGATGAAAGGCTCAAAGTGCTCATAGCCCATGATATGGAAGGCCACATGTGAGTTTGCAAGAGAGCAGATGGGTGCTCGTTGTTCAACAGATGCTTGCTGGGAGCATGTGTGAACTAACTTTTCATCATATAATTTTCACTCTAATCGATGTGGATATCAGGGCATCCAGGGTACTCAACTAGTCATGAAAGGGTCTAGAAGGAAACTAACACCCTCGAAGGACCATCTTCACAGGTCAATGGTGGTCTGCTTGAGTCTTATTCGGTGAAGCATTCAATAGGCTCATACTCGGAGGTGGCCAACCAAGGATGCGATGAATAGACTGTGAGTGAGAGCTGGTATGTCTGAGCTGATTGCAAATGTGGCTGAATTCCTATGTAATGGCTTATGTGCTAGAATGACAGAACTGTGTCCTCTGACACAAAGAACTTGGTGAAAATGAGGAGCCTTTCATTCAATGAAAATAGCCATTACACGTTCGGGCTGCAGTTTTTCCAGGCACACATACACTGGCCACAACGTGATTCATTGAGGGGAGCAGAGGACTTTACCATGATCACTGCAAGGGCAAAAGCATTGTAGCGCAAATTTGATGGAACAATTGGAAGGGCCTCGACTGTGCATATTGTGTGGTGTGGAAGACATTTCTCATGAACCCTATGTGGAAATCAGCACCATCTCTGAAGGGTGCAGCTCAGCGTGGGTAAATCATCATGCTGAGTGATGGTGCACTTAAAACTCAGGGACTTTGGTGCAGATTTGTCATGTGAAAGAACAAGCATGCCAAATTACTAAGCGAGATCTGGGATTAGCACATGGCAATTCACGAGGCCCCCACTCTCTCCGAACCTGTCACTCCATGCCCTGCTATATAAGGCAAGGATGCAAGAATTGCAGTGTCATGATCATATGGGATTGCCTGTTCATGTGCCATCTGGGAAGTGTTCTTGTGATGCACTGCATCTTCTAGCGCATCATATGTATGCACATGGTGATTATTGCTGTGTTATAAATCATGTACCTGTCAGAAATCCATTTCCTTCTGACTCTGTCACTGTGCCCACTGCCAGTGGTTCGACTTTCTCCCATCGGCCATAAGTAATGCTAATCATGATGATGAGGAAGACCACAGTGATGACTGCAGCAACTGTGTTCATGCTTCACACCACCTGCCTGCTCTCGCTCATCCTCATTCTTCACCTTTGGCATTGTTACCTCTTCATCAGCATCAACATGCTCACTAATGTCTTCACCTCGGGCATCGTCATTATCGTCATTTCTGACCTCATCACCCTCATCTCCTTCCTCACCCTCACACATGCCACCCTCACCCATGCCTGCCCCTCCAAGGCTGCTGTCACAGTGTGCACCATGCCCCTCCTCAGTGCCCACCTCCTCGTGTTCCTCACCATCTGGCTCTTCACGATGATCATGCCGTTCACAGACTTTGTCATGAACTGTGAGGCGAAAATCACCACATACTTGGGTAGCACCTCCCTCAGTGCCAGCACCATCCAGAGCAAGAAAAATGTGCTCGCGCTTATCTCAGTCTATCATAAACTTGGCTACCATGAGTGTCCACTCTGCCACATTTCCGTGATCATCGCTGCTTCGATTCTGTGCTTCTGACTCCCCTTCTTGGTTCTGGTTGCTAATGTAATCACTAGTGGGTCCCACAATTGTAATACAATCCTGCACAGGACTGCTAAGAGAATTGTGTATATCCCCTCCACATATTGTAATACTGAATGATAAAACAATGTGCATAGCTATTGTAATTCTTGTAGAATGTTCCTGCTGACTTTGTAATACTTGCACATTGAGATTGTAATATGCTCTTGCAGGTATTGTAATATCTTTGCACTTGATTGTATAATGTTCTTGGTTGTCTTGTACTTTTTGTGCTCTGGGGTTGTGGTCTTTGTATATTTGTTTTGGCGTTTTTGTAATGTTTTCTTTTTTGTTTGTAGGTTTTTTTCTGTTCGCATTAACATTATACAATCAAGTGCAAAGATATTACAGTACCTGCAAGAGCATATTACAATCTCAATGTGCAAGTATTACAATGTCAGCAGAAACATTCTACAAGAATTACAATAGCTATGCACATTGTTTTATCATTCAGTATTACAATATGTGGAGGGGATATACACAATTCTCTTAGCAGTCCTGTGCAGGATTGTATTACAATTGTGGGACCCACTAGTGTCTTCGAGGGCAAGGTGACATACAGGAGCAGGTTGCAATATGGACGGTGATGTGGAAGAAATGACACAATGCACAGAGAGGACATTGTCGAATGGCAGAGGGTGAAAATCAGAATGAGCATGGGCTGGCAAACTGTAACACAGTCTTGGGTGACTCAGACCACATGGCTATGATCGTGAGTGATGCAATTCCTGTGGTGGCAGATGGCAGAAGTGTGAAGCCTGCAGATCTTGGGATGGTCGAGGTGGTCAAGCAGAGTGTGGGTAGAGGGCAGATGCTGCATTGGTCGAAGTGCACTTGCTGCAGCTGCAATGATTGTCCTGCTATCTTCCTGCCCTGTCACATGACTCAGCGCATGCACTCACCAACATCACCTGCAGCACCACATATCTCTCTCCTCCCCTTGTCATTCCTGCACTCCTTTCCCACATCGCATACTGAGATGAGCAGAAATGCGCAGTCATTCTCACATCATGCTTACCTCAAATAATCTGCCCTGCGTGACTTCATTCAAACTGATGCTCTGGAGACCATGCCATCTGCAAGAGGTTTCATAGCTGCACTTCACCACATGTGCCACTCACCATCCACACCCAGCATGCATATCTCAGCCATTCAATGAGTCCTGTGATCAACAGTGAGTGTGACAGGACAGTGACTCCAAGCCCACCTTCCCAGCTTCCCTAGCCTGCACCAGAAGGCATAGTGAGCATTTTCCTGTCACATCTGGTGCAGTGGCTTCCCACACAATGGAGGAAACATCACTGACATCACTCATGGATGATCTCCCAGGATGTATATGAGGTGACCTTCTGTGGTGTATACGCATGGATGTGCATGCCTCTGCTGCACTTGTGAACATATGCCTAACCTCTATACACGTAGATCTGTTGCTCACAGTAGGTCGTGATGATGCTGCAGTGCCTGCAAGCTTTCTCATTCCACCAGCATGCAGCATCTACTGCTATGAGATGGATATCCTGCAATGTGATCTAAAAGGGTATGTATGGTTCTATTGATTGCTTGGATTCACCTGACATAGATCACACAGCACATCAGTGTAGGCTTCTCAAGCCTGGCTGTGCACTTGAGCTGACTTCCAAGATGGGTGTCAAATTTGTGGTGATACCATGCAGTTCCAGAATCAGCATGTCTCATCATTCCATTTGCACTGCTGCCCATTGCTATCAGCAATGTCACCTGGTCACTGAAGGATACATTCGATGTGTGAGAATGCCATGTGAGTGTCTCATCCTCTCACTCTTCAGGCTGGATGCCCAAAGATGAGTCAGCATCATCATTGCTGCCACATGTGAGCACGTCACTTACGGAGTTAGATCCGACATCCTCAATATTGAAGAGGGCAGGGCTGTCAGCAAAATCCTCAATGAGCACGAGTTGGGTGACATCGAGGCTGATCTTGCCCATGCCTTTGCTGGCTCAGATGCCAAGTTCAATGTGGTTGGAATGCCCCTCTCCTTCCTTCCTGTTTGGTAGGAAGTTCTCGTTCATAAATTATGAGTCAGTGTCTACGTGCACATATTTTGTCACTCACAAGATCTCACCCCAGTGCATGCCTTCTGAGTTGCCTTTTCAGACAATATGAATGGGCTGAAATTAGCTTGACATCATCTTCACTTCGCAGAAGATGTTGCACTTCAGCTTCAAGCATCAGAGTCCAGGCTGCACCCATCAACTTTGATGAACTGTGTTCAGTGCCACTGCCTCTGATAGAGGCTGACTTTTACACCTATTTCCTGGCTCTGCACTGTGACTGTGGCTGTTCAACTTGTAGAGGAGCATTGGCCCCCAATCACCATGATTTTCCCTCCCATTTGCCAGGTAATCTGCCATTGTGAGAAGCATCAAGTCATGGCCGACATTGCTCTCCTTATGGTACTTGTTAGCATATGAAAATCAGTCCACTCACCTAGAATCCCAATCATACATGGCAGGTGTGCTTCGACTCACCAAGGTCACCTCAAGCAAGGGAATTGACAGTCTTTATAATATCTGCAACAGTTTCATGTAAAGGAAGCTAGCCGTGGAAACCTTCATGCCAGAGCACAAGAGTGTGATAACATGTAACAGTCCTCTTGAGGCCTCAGGCCTCAACGGTAACTAGCATCCATAGACATGAGTTCTGCGGTACAGGTCGATGGTTGACAGACAGTATGCAGCATTACCTGCTCTTCATCCTCTACTCCTTTTCTGATGAATGCTGTTATCTAATATTCACCCTCCATGCATTTGCCATGAGTATTCTAGAAGTCATAATTGTGTCAAAGAAGCCATGGCTTCATGCAGCCATGCCAGCGTTTATATGTACTGTAAGTTCTTCAAAAGCGGAGACATCATTGGATGACTCTCTCCACTATTATTCCCCATGCCTTGCTCGAAGACCAAAATCAAGCAAAAGCATGGCAAGGCGTCGACTACCTCAAATCTTTCACATGCAAATGCCAAAGAGGACCTTTTGCAGTGTTCACATCAGTGAACCATGGTGAGCTTCATAGTCACATAATGATGCATGGAATAAACATACTTTTTTTCAGACTGAGGACTGCGAAGAATGCCATTGACAGCTCACATGATGACCCTCAGATCATCGCAAGTTTTTCCATCCACAGATGCTTGTGATTAGGTACATCGACCAGCCTTACAAGACACCTTTCAACTGTCAGCTTTCAGATGGCAAGGTGACATGTACTCAGTGTGGCCTTGAGATTCAGCTATTCAAGAAACTTCTAGTGAGTCCAGTCTGGGTTTTCTTCTATCTATTCTAACAGCACATAAAGAAACATACCACCAGCCATTATCCATCTCTTCAAGGACAGGGTGCCGTTCATGAGGAGCTTGCTTCAAAATATGTGGTTTTCGATGCAACTAGCCAGCCTTCTGTTGTTTCCATCAGTGAACTCACAACTTCTGCCATTAAATGTGCTGCTGTTTCTGTCAATGATGCTGATGCCGATGTTGCTGCTTCCACTGTCATTGAATGTGGTCCCACTTCTGTTGATGATGCCAACACTGACATTGCCCCTTCCATTCTTGATGCCCATGCTACCGCTTCCATTTTTGACATTGACGCTGCTGCTGCTTCTGGTGCTGATGCTGTCATTGGTGAGATTTCCATCGCTGACATTAGTCTCAATGCTACTGTATCCCATGACACCATCACCATGACTCACTGGCCTGTTGCTACAAGCCTCATCACCACCATCACCCCCCATGCTGTCCTTCGACACCATGTCACAACTGCATCTAGTGCACTCCAGATACCCCAGAATTGCCATGTCTTGAATATTGCCTCAGAAAATTGATGCGATCTTGATGTGTTCAGCACTGTATCACCAGGGGCATGAGCCCATGATTTCGCTGGGAACATTTTGGACACATCACGATAACAGTCACAATGTAACTCTAATGTTACTGATGTAAACATCACGGAATAATTTAAATTATCTTGAGTGAGCTCATTGTGGAATAATAGTGATATTATTCAGAAAGACACCAGGATGAGGCAACGATTTTGCTCCGGCCAGCATTCATATAATATATTGGTATCATTTTGAATGGATCTTAAGGGTACATTACAAATGTGCTCAATGTGATGTTACGATGAGTACCCAGATGCTTTCCATCATGTGCTGGCTGGAATCATCTTGAATGCATCACGGATGTCCTAATATGGTTAGCACATTACTATATATAGTAATAATAATCATGCGATCACAATGAACCCATTGGGAACATCTTGAAGATATAATGGCCACTCACAGGTATCATTTGAGATTTTCTCCCATGAAACATTTAGGATGCTATCGCAATAATGCTTGAATGCTGTCATCTGCAGCATTGGGGTCTCATTTCTTGCATCTTTATGAATGCTATCCAAATTGTGCCGCAATGTTGATGCTTCAAACATTTTAAAACATTCAAAATCATTCCAAAATGTATGCACTAAAAACATTGCATAATTATTTGGACTGTTATTACAATGTGTCCAAAATGTTTCGGGCGGAATCATGGGCCCATGCCCCCGGTGTATGTAGTAGTTTGAGGTTTCTTTTACCCATCTTTGCTATACATTCCCTCTTGGCTTCGTGTCACACCTTGGCTTCTTTCTGTCGAGATATCCTTTGATCTAGTCTGTAGAGTTTATAGCTTGTAGTAGTACATCATGAATGGCTTAGCGTTTCAAGCTCATGAATAGATATTCAAGCACGACACACTCATTGGCTCAAACCCAGTATGTTTTGCATGTCAAGTCAAAATGGGATTCTATTTCTACTGTGCACACAGGACACAAGTTCCAGAAGTTAGCCCTTCGGTGCTGCATTCATATTTGTTCTAACAATGGTCGATATACTCGATGAATAGTCCCTCTCAAGGCTGCCAATAAAATCTACCCAAGATGATCATGAGCAGAGCATTCAACACTATTTGGAGTGATACAGACCTCACGTTAGTGTGGCGATATCCTGTGTAAAACTCAGCCAAGGCCATCACACCTTTCTGACAACATGACTTAAATCCATACTCAGTGCCCAGATCACACACACCTTCCTGCGCACATCGTGCAGTGGCAACGATCAACTGAAACTTTAAAACATCAGCAATAAGGCCTAGATCTTTTTGTTCTTTCAGAAGTGTGCCCGCAGAGCTGATAAAAGATGTGATGGTTCCATTTTGTGAGTGGCTGTAGATAACTTGAGAACACTCCAAGGTACAGTGAGCCACAAAACTGTTGCAATGTTTGCAATGGTGTCATTGTTTGGCTTATATCTCAGGACCCAGAAAGGCTATATATGCAAACTTATATATCACTAGAAAGCTTATGATATGGGCTTTCAAATGACATTTAGATAAAGTAAATCGGCTTTACCATTGTTGAGATATGAATTTTTCATTATAAAAAGTGCATTGCAACAGTTTTGTGGCTGACAGTTCTGAAAATAAAAATGTGCCCTTGCAGAAGTTTGTTTGCTTTGAGGTTTGAGGTTTGAATTATATGATATTTGTTGAACTTCAACATGAGTCAATAAACACCAAACAGACTGTTAAACTTCAACACAATCATCATGAAAAAACTTTCTGCTCCTCAAACTGCTCAAATTCTCTCTTTACTTGATCCAGGCCATTCTGCCAGACAGATTGCTCATCTGACTGGTATCCATTGCTTTAATATGTCCTGAATACACTCTGAACATTGTCCTGACATGCCTACATCTGGTTGAGGTCATCCTAGCAGGCACAATCCAGGAATCATATGCTATGCCACTCACCTTCTTATCACTGAACAGGCAGATACTGCTGCTCAAGTGACAAAACTCCTCCAAGATGTTGTCAGTCAGTCTTTGTACATGGAGACTATGCATAGAAAGGTTAAAAGTGCTGGTCTAAGGCTGTGATAAAGCACAAACACCCTCTTTTCTCTAAACATCATAAGAGAGAAAGACTGAAGTTTGCTGTTAGCCATAAGCACTGGACTGTGAAGGACTAAAATGAGGTTGTTTGTTCAGAAAAGATCAAAGTTAACAGATAAGGCTCACATGGGAGGAAATGGATGTGAAAGAAGCCAGGGAAGGGTTTCAGCGATAGACTGATAGAAGGAACACTCAAGTTTAGAGGTGAAACCTGATAATGTGGGGGTGTATATACTGGGAGGGAATTGGATATGCTTTCAAGATGGATGGAAAGATGTATGTAGACCTTTATGTTTCTATTCTGAAGGAATAACTTCAGAATAGCATAGAGAAATGAGGGAAAACTGTGAATAATGTAATATTTCAGCAAGACAATGACTCCATGCACACCAGCAAGAAAGCCAAGAAGTGGCTAGAGGAGCATGGATTTAAGATTATGTATGGCCTGCATAGTTTTCAGATCTCAATCCTATAGAACACCTCTGGCACCATCTCAAAAGAAGGCTGAAACAGGCAAAAATGCACCTGGAGGAATTATAAAACTTTGGAATAGGGTACAAAAGAAGTGAAGTGGTATTGAGGCTTTTGTCTGTCAAAATATAATCAATAGCATGCCAGACAGGGTTAGAGATTTGTTGAGGACAAAGGGAGGGTACACAAAGTACTGAAGTTTGAAATTTTTGTACATAAAACTGTCAGCCACAAAACTGTTGCAATGCACTTTTTATAAAGAATAATTTATATCTCAACAAAGATAAGGCCAATTTACTCCAGTCAAATATCATTTGAAAGCTCATATCATAGGCTTTCTAATATATATAAGTGTGCATATATAGCTACTCTGATTCCTGAGATATAAGCCAAACAATGTGCCCATTGCAAACATTGCAACAGTTTTGTGGCTCACTGTATATGTTCTGATGTGTGCGTCAATAAGTTTTTGATTGCCGTCGAAGAGCATCTTTGAGGTTCATGAATAATGGCACACTAATTGAAAACACTGTCACTTATCTGGATTTACTTGCTGAATCGTGAAGACTTGTCATTATGAATGGTCTTTGCATTATCAAAAGCCTCCAAAGCTGGATTTGTCGCAAAGATGTAACGTTCAACTTCACTGGATTCATCAAGGGAGCTCTTTGTTTTGCCTCTACCTTTAAATTCAGTGGTTGATAGACACAAGATAATATATGATGAACTTGGCCTGCAGCCAATTCAGACACATATTCCACAAGGAATATGAATGTGAACATACAAATTCTGTCTTGCCTGCCCACTGTCAATCGCTTAGGACCTTATGCCTCAAGTGAGTGCACATACACATACCTCTCTCCTGACATAATAATGGTTTGTCCGGTTCAATATCTGCTCATAGTGGTGTATGCATCTTCAGCAATTTCAAATAAGTGCAATTGCAGCTCTCCTCACTTGCGACATTGTAGGCCTGAATAATCTTCAGCCCATAGAGTATGATGCGTTGCAATGGGTTCATGGCAATGAGGACAATATCACTGTATGTGTAGATGCTATGTTGTGCATATCAGTTGCAGATCATGTAGAAGACTGAGCATTTCATCAGCCAGCACAAAAGCTCTAAGGCTTGAAGAATGCTCACCGAAAGGCTCATTGAGATGTGAGAGTGTGGCTGAATCGTCCACCATCTTCAGCAAAGGGGGAGGGGGGAATTGTGCAATGGTGGAAGGCCCTCCTTTCTATCCTTGATGTCCTGCACTGTTGTGTCTATAGTGGTTTCCTGGTGGAGGAGTAACCATGCACATCAGCCTTGAGGTAATCAATGCAGACATCTACATGCTTAAGCATGTAGATGAAGTCAGTTTGCAGAACAAGTGAATCTCCTGGAGAGTTGAGCATGCATGTAACATGTTCGAGCTCCTAGAAGTACTCCAGCTGCTCTCCAATAGCCTCTGTCATGCTCAGCAATCGATCCTGACTGTCACAGTATTAGGTGGCACCTTTCTTTTTGCACCATAAAGTCCTCATTTGGCAATCACAAGTGGTTATTCAGACACCACCCTTCATATTGGTCTCACAAAGTGGATACTTGGACAAACAGCACGATACTGCCACATACATTGTGGATATATCTGTGTCTACCACATAACCACCAAGTGCCTAGATTTCAGCCACCCAGTCACATGACACTGGCCACTTGCCCTATTTGGAAGTTGTTAGATGTTGATCACGTGACACCAGGCCACTTGCCCAGAAAGGAACCCTTTGAACCATCAAGCTAGCAAGCACCCAATTCGTCACCCAGATAGTGGCACCACTTTGCTGCCTAAACCAATAGGCAGGATCCCCCTACCAACCAGCATACAGTATAGCCAGGTACAGGATAGGCTGGATCTTCCCACAACTTATCTAGATGAAGACTGATCATCCCACTCATTGTTCTGAGTTTGGACAGATCCTCTCATCTGATGTTGCAACCATTGTGATGTGCCCTGTTGGCCATCACCCATTGGCCCCTCAACAGTGGGCCCACTTACAGGCATTTATCTCATTGGATTAGGTAGGATTATCTCAGCGTATCCATGGCCTTTGTAGATAGTTGCCATAGTTGCTGCCAGAGCCCTTACTGGTTCTGGCATAGTTTTCCCACATGTAGCTTGCTAGGACACTGGTAGGTACACCTTAGTTAGAGTGACCAGGGTCCAGCCCTACATGTATACAAGCCCATGAGAATCTAAGGGAGGACCTTAGATTCATTATACTATTGTATGCGGCCAGCAGGCCAGCTCCCCCCTTTCACTTTTTGTGCAAGGCCATGCATTGGGGCTTTGCCTTGATTGCTGGTTGTATGCCACTGTGCACCATCCTCAGCCTAGCCCTTGTGGCAGGCTTTTATGTTGTGGATTTATTTGTGCAGGTCACACAAGCAGACTTGCCCTTAATTGGGTTAAGTGCTTTGTGCTTTGTGACACTGACTCAGTCATATGAGTATCCTGAAACCTGCCTTTACAAGGCTTACACTCCTCATCTTGAGCCCATCAAGAGGTGCTCTCACCTCCCATCCCTCTACACTGATAGTAGGCTTCAGTAAAGATGTGTGTTGGGGAAACAAGGGCCACCATTGCTTTCAGAGTTGCATCTTTCATGATGATAGACATAAGGATGCACCACGCCCATCAGAAGCCCTGTAAAAAGACACATAAAGATCTATCTATATACCAGATGCCATTGAACCTCAATGGCAATGCTCAGAGGGACCTCTATAGCACATTCAATTCTTATGCTATGCTCTTCAGAATACCCTCATCAGAAAGCCACACTTCGACTCTCAGAGGCTCCAATGCCAGTTGAGCAGAATGGGTGCTGTAGGCTTCTTGATCGGGCAGGTTTCCTCATGGTGGTGGTTTGGTCAACATTGGTCCCTCTGAGGCCATCGGATATTTCTATCATCTCAGTTTTATTGGGGCCCCCTTGCTCTATATCTCAAGCAGCCATGTAATTAAATTTTGATTATTCAGTAATTTATTCATATTTCTATGCGATGCCCTTTCAACTCAGTCAATAAGCACCCGTTATGGTCCTCACGACTTTTTGCTTTTTCCTCTCATGCATCAACAATCTGCTCACTCATCATTGTTGAGGACCCTGAGCTATTCATCTCAAAGACTCACATGTGAAATTTCATGCCTTTTGATACTGTTTTCAAGCCTCCATGAGGTGCCCTTTCCTCATGTGTGCATGGTGCGTCTGAGTCCCCCATCAGGGAGTGTGCTCATGTCGTCCTCCCCTGGTCTCACTGGGGGCATCAGCTCATGATTCCAGCAGAATCATTGTGGACACATCACAATCACAGTCACGATGGTGTGACAATATTTTCTTCAAATTCATGGTGAAGACACCCTCGATTTTGCCTAAATGATACACAAATATATTTGATGGGATTCTCGGAGCATTTAATTGGTTATATTTTGACTTACTTTTGTTAAAACAATATGGTGGTTTCTTAAGCACATAACATTTGCAATTCAGCTGAAAATGCAATGTTGCCATCTCCAACTAAGCAGCATCACCACAGCATCATTTTGGATGTGCGCACCCATAGAAGCAGCTGATTTATAATAAGATCATTGTGGAATCATCACCTGATGATGTCCTGATGTGTTTAAAATGTTTCCACACACATCATCGGGATATCATGCCACTTCCATTGACAGTGCTTCTGTTTGGAACATTGAATATGATTTCCCTATGCAGTCAGCATGATATTCAGCACATGTCTCCTGTGGAAAGGGCAAATCTCGTTCATGCAAAAGTGATATGCAATGTGGTATATTTCATGAGGCATTGAGGAGCCATCAGGGAATCATCAGGCATGCCTCTGCTGTGGCACCAAAATGTTTTCCCGATATGTCCAAAGTGGCTACACTGCATTCGATCTGTACAATTCTAACTATAGCTAAGCCAGGGTTGCACGATGCGAGCCATGCAGACCCATTCACCTGAGGGCATGAACAGAAATTCCATGCTCAGACCCAGGAATGGGGGACAATAGGAGTTATGTGCCCGAAAGAGAGAACCTCAATGTGCGATTCTTGCCTATCTATGTGAACAATGTGGTGAAGTCCAAGCTCCATGCAGGTACATGTGCCAATTTTGCTCTGCTGGCCTGCAATTGTGTTTGATGCTGATTGGTTGTGATGACCGAGAGCAGGGGCAACCTTCTAGTGTGCCAGTTTGGCTGACAGCGGTGGTCAGCGAGTTTTCCCATCCCTCCTCATTCTATGTCCCATCACTGACCTTATGTCTTTCGAGCTTGAGCCAAGGCCAGCACATGCAATCACACACAATATAGCCTCATCTGGCTCACACAGCTCAACAGCACCATCACCGCCGTTGCACTCGGGCAGGATCACACATAGGCAAGGTGCTCAGCTGGGGCCTAAGTCACTCTACCCAACTCAGTTATGTTGTCGATCCACTCGCTGGCATTGTGAGCCACATGGAGGAGCTGATTTAGTCTATGACGTGGAAGGTGGGTGGGCTGCTAAAGAACAGGGTGCTGATGCTGCTTCTCCACTCAGCCACAGGTGATGCTATTCAATATCTGTTTCAGATGGCCAGCTCATGGGGACCTCATGTTGCAAAGTGTTCTCCTGCTACGTGGTCTGCCTGCCTGACATGGTGTCAACATGCTCTCACTCTCCAGCTGCCCACGAATGCACCAAACCCATCCAGACAAACCATTACGAACACATTCCTCAAGCATGTACCTGAGGTGAAGAAGGAGACCCTTGTAGACTTTCTCATCCGTTCTTTCGTTTATGTTGACCTGTACTTTGCATATCTCGAAATCAACCAGCTCATCTGCCTTGATGGCATCAATGGTGATGAGCTGACCATCTACCACCTTAACTTGGCTGCAAAGCCTGACCAGCCAATGATGAGTATGCACATCTCATCCAGTCCTAGTATCTTACATTTCACACAGGTTTGGCCCACTCCTTTTGGCCGTGACTTTTCCAAGGAGAAAGCATACATCCAGAAGCTCGATGCTTCACCCAGTGCTTTCCTCAAGCTTACCATTGTCAGTCCAGAGGGCTGCATCTGGATGATGGTCGCTGGTGGTGGTGCATCCATCGTGTATGCCATCACTGCTCACAGCTTTGCATATGAGCTCCCGAACTATGGCGAATACTCCAGCACGCGGACTGAAGATCAGACATATGAATATGCGAAGATGATCATTGACATCATCACCCATGGAAGCTTCGTCCTGATGGCAAGATCCTCATCATTGACAGTAATATCGTGAACTTCCTGAATGTTGCCGCCACCTTCAAGGGTATTATCTGCCTGCTGAAGGAGTACAAGGCTCCACTGATTGCCAAAGATCTACATCTGTCATGGTGGTCCAAATTACCAGGAGGGTCTCAAGGCAATGCATCTTCTGGGTGAGTCGCTTAGTGTTCCCATCAAGGTATATGGTCCTGATATGCACATCACGGAGATTGTCCCACTCACGCTTGGCGTACAGGTGAAGTGCAAGAACCCCTCCACTCCATTGCTTCCATGCTTGTCGCTCCTTCCTCACTGAAGGCTAAGACCAGGATTGATTATCCCTCAACATCTGTAATCCCTTCTTCTGCAGACCTTCCTTCACAATGAGCCAATCTAACCAGTTTATCCTCCCTCTCCCATGCATGAGTATCCATCATCTACTCTCATAAATTGGCTCCTGATTGTAGATCAGGGCCATTGCCAGATCATTCAAGTCATCTTTTGTAATGATCATGGCATGCTTAAATTTGATCAGATGATGTTGCAGGGGTCGTCGTAAATATTTGAGGAATACCAGAACAGCATGAGGCCCACCCACTTTGCTTGCCTGCTGAAGGTGGCTCTCGATCTCTGAGAATGGCCTGATCATGGAGAGTTGGATCATTAGTTGTTCCGTGATAATTTGGCATTCAGAATGGGAGAAATCCTTTTTCTGATCCTTCCACTGCTTCTTTGTCCAAATGACAGGTCTATCGAAGAGCAGACTTGCAGTCTCAAGATGGATTGAATGCTGATGCCACTTTTGCAGATTTACTGAAGCCCATTCGGGAAAGGATGATCATATTGGCGTAGCCTCTGTGGCTGTTAGCTTATTGAGGTTGGGCCTTTCCTGCATAGCTCCAAGTGCATATGTACACGTGGTGCATTGCAAATCGATGAAGCATGGTCACATTCTCTGTTTCTGACACATTCACTGTCTGCTGTTTGTCTAAAGCATTGTCTATCAACTGAGCTGTCCATCACAGAGCGTCAGTACTACGAGGCTGCCTCATGCTCCTCACCTCTGTCGACGAGCCTTGATCTGCAATCAATTTGCTCTGTAAGCTTACAAACGCACACAGCATCAGAAATGGTTTTCCTTGGGCAGACCTCTCACTTCCCTCCCATTGGTGTTGTTAACTGACAGCATCTGCACTTGCTTGATCATACGCATGCCACACTCGCATTTTCCTTCTCCAATAAACATGTTTTTGAAAATGGCTGTCTCAGGCTTTAGCTTCTCGTCGTAAAGATTTCCACACTCCCTGCTTGTGTAATAACTTAGTTCGAGCATCAGATTTAATCATGTCAGACAATAAGTTCTCAGTTGAATCACGAGATTTCATTGGAAGGAAGACTTGAGTAGTATGTCAAGAATTGTATAGTAGGGGATAGTACCTATGTATTACGATGGAATCTCATGGTGATAAATGGCTGGCCTGTGTAATGGAGACTATGCTTACTTGAAAATGGGAATGACAGCCAACTGGAAAGTGCGTCGGTGAAGTTAGGTGAAGAATAGCTCTATAAAGCAAGCAATTCTTCCATTCTCATCCATTTACCACCAATGTGGGTGCAGGGTGCAGCCAGCGACATCTGCCTGGACAGTGGGCATACTTGATTGAGACAAACTGAAAGTGAATGGCCATTGATTGGCAGCAGATCATTCAGTAACAAAAAGACTTACAGTAGCATTTCTTCGTCATGGACAAAGTCATATTCAGGGTGGCTATTCAGATTGTCAACCTCAATAGGATGCAACTGACGAATTCAGTCTTGATTGTAGGCATTGGCAGGCAAACAGGGCACTGCACAGTGGATGCTGTAATCTTGTTGATGCACAGAGCTAGGCAAGATGATGGCGTGTGCATGGGAAAATCTGCCCCACCCATTCTCTTGCATGTAGAATTTGGAGATAAGGTATGTATTGTCAAAAATGTGCAGCCAACTTCTGAGGGCCAGATTCCTCCATGGCAGTATAGATACATGGTATGATCACACATCTAAACCAGTGTCGATGGAGTCCGGTTCATCTGAGCTCATTCTGTCAGGACCCAGAGATCGCAGAATGCTGACATGTTTTCAAAGTTGCAGTGTGTGCACTGCTATCTTGAGTCGGCGTTGAAACAGCTGACATAGAGGCATTAAGATGAAAGCAACTGTGATCTAACACTTTTACACTCACCGTTTGTCTCCTCTGATCTTTTGTGTATTGATTGACGCAGTCAGTTTCTGCCTCTGCTGGTCCTGCCTGTCATTCATAATGCTTCTTCAGAGACTTGAAATGAGATCTGAAAGCAACAGCTATTGCTTTTTCACTGCGGCATTGGTATAGGCCAACAGAAATGAAGTCTTGTGTGAACACCTTGATGGCAGACTTGTTCCATTGTGAGCCGGGAGTTGATCCTAAGTCCAGGCGAAAAGAGGAAGCGGTGCAGCAATCACCTATACCATCTCACATAAGAATGTCACTGCGAGATGCCATGCAAGTCTCTTCAATTGGTGAATCTCTACTGTCACATTGCATCAAGTGCCTAGTGTGCTCACAGATATCCTCTTTGAAAAGAATGTCAGCTAGAAGAGGCACAGAATTTTACAAGACTTACAGCCAGTTGATTGTCTCTTTTTGATCGATGTTGGATGAATCTGCGCATCTGCCATTGGACAACTGTTGCTTGTGCATTGCTCTCATTGTCCCCCACATCTCCGTCATCCACATCCACATCATGCCTTCATCTATTCGAGGTTGGCAAACTTGAAGTGTTCATCATCATCGTTGATAGCTTTCGGACTTCCAGCATTAATTCACTCATTGCTCCCGTCAAGCTGCACAATTCACCTTGAGCAACTGATGTTGGCTGAGAATTGTCAGTGTTATGGTGACGCCCTGATTAAAATATCTGTATTATAAATAACTCGCTGGGCTTTCATGACCATCAGGCTTTGGTGGCTGCGCTGACACTGGCACGGAGTTTGATGTTGCAGCTACCAGTGGCACAGTACCTTCCACAAAAGAAAATTTGGAAGGATGGAGCATAGATTGGCTTGGAGGTTGGAATCCATGAGCATGGAATGCTTGATTTTCCACCTGAGTATGTTCATTAAATGATGCACTGGAGCTCAGCTGAGGCTGCTTTGCTGCAGGAAAGATAGAGGCAGAGCGTGACATTGATCTCTCAGGTGTCATGTGTTCTGGGAGAGTGAAGGTGTGAGAACATTGTCTGAATGAGGAGAAAAGTGTACTATCGCACCACATGCTTGAGAATGGAATGTGAAAGACTGAACATTGTGCATACCACCAATCTATCTATATACCGGGAGCTGTTAGCCCCTAATGGCCATGCTCAGAGGGCCCTCCATAGCACATTCAATTCTTGTGCTATGTTCTTCAAAATACCCTCATCTGAAAGCCACGCTTCGAATCTTGAAGGCCCCAAAGGGGCCCCAATGCCCAGTTGAGCGGAACGGGCGCTGTAGGCTTCCCAATCGGGCAGGTTTCCTCACGGTGGTGGTTTGGTCAATATTGGTCTTTTTAAGACCCTCAGTTACTTCTATCACCTCGGTTTTATTGGGGCCCCCTCACTCTATATCCCAAGCACCCAGCTAATTAAATTCTTATCATTCCGCAATTTATTTGTGTTTCTACGGGATGCCCTTTCAACTCAGTCGGTAAGCGCCCGTTATGGTCCTGGTGACTTTTTGCTTTTTTCTCTCGTGCATCGCAATCCGCTCGCTAGTCAGTGCTGGGGCCCCCTAGCAATACATCTAAATGACTCAACTGCAAAATTTCGAGTCCGTCAGTACTGTTTTCAAGGCTCCACGACGTGCCCTTTCCCCTCATGTGCACAGCGCATCTGACTCCCCGATCAGTGAGTGTGCTCGCGTCGTCCTCCCCTCATCTTCCTTCAACCTCATTCATGTCTATCTCCTCCCATTTACTCTCATTGTCCTCTGCTTAGGTTAGCATGGCACCCGCTCTCAATTTTCAGGTGAGTATTAGCCTTCATTCGAACGATATTGACTCTTCAGCGAACAAGCACGCACGCGTGCTCTCTACAGCACCCACCTCCTACCAACCACTGCCTCCTTCATTCACCACTGGATTCTCCCCATCCACCACCACCGAATTCTCCCCATTCTCCACCACCAGATTCTCTCCGCTCAAATTGATTCTGCAGGCCTCCCACATCTGCCATGCACGCATGCCATCACTCGATCACAACAGCTTGCGAGCGAGTGAACGCATGTGAAAGACGGCGATGGGTCAGCAGCGACGCAGGAGGAGGGCAGTCGTTGGGTCTCAGGGAGCACGTATGTGGGCTAGAGCGAACGTAGGGTGGGTTGGGACGCTATACTAGGTGAGCCGCCGTTGTCATGGTTTTTCTGCGCCACAAGTCTCAAGCGCCCACGGACCATTATTTATCCACCTAGTTACTATATATAGAAGATACCACTATGCCTCCACGTGTATATCTTAGTATACCCACGCCACTCGGACATCCTTCGGACATGAATCAGTCACATGACCCTACATCATAGTGACATCACAAGCCTGAACTCCATAGACACTCCTAGACTTAGACGGACTCCCCTAGGCCTGAGCACGCCATAGCATGCCATAATGATGTATTATTGCAAACCTAGGGTATGCAGGGTCTTACACCCAGTACCAGGGGTCTGGCCCCTCCTGTATATATACCCGCTCGAGCTGAGGCCTACCCCTCAGTTTTGAGTTGGTCTTTACTCCTCCACTTAAGCTAAACAACCCTGACGGGTTAGGCGAGAGCGGACCCAGGAGTTCCTGAGATCCTTCACATAACTCGAAACTACTCTCTATAGTCTGTGGGCACCGGTCGACGCCTTGGACTGCTACTTCACTGTCGATCAACTCCATCCTCATCGTGCCCAGTCAGGGCTTTTTTCAACTCTCCTCGGACTTAGCCGTGCCCTGCTAAACCTCTTCGGTGAAGCGAATACGTGGATTGTCAGTCAGGATACATAGGCCCTAAACCAACCTCCTGCGAAAGTGGGTGACATACTACAGTCCCAAACTCTGCTGCGACCCCAGGCGTAAGGGGATTTCCTACACAAACCTAGTGGTTAAAACTGCATTAGGGCTGTCAAGAAGGGCCAGGAGTGCCTGTTGATGTCAGCACCTCTAGGGGGAAAGGATGCAGTGCTCCTTAAAAGGGTACCGATATCGAGTACGTCGCAGCAACGAGGCAGCTCCTATATTGGACTGACCAGCGGGGTAATCTGATGTTCGGGTCTGCTAGTCCATATAAACTATCCTCAGCCTAGCTGCCATGCTATATGGAGGATTTATCCTCTAACGTCGCCATCCTAGCCACCAGGTCTAGGGGTAGCAGACGTAACAACCGCAGACAAGGGAGAACTTGCGGGAGGTACGGAACACCTTTGAAAAGGCCCTGAAGCTGTAAATCAGCAACACTTCTGGACCGCTTCAGCGAGACCTGCATAACCTCGAGTAGCGAGGGAATAAACCTACTTGCTCAGTGCTAAAGAGGCACCAGACGTGTATTCAACCCCTGCGCAGTTCTGACTTACTTAGGGGTTTAGTTACCAGTACCTACGTAGACAAATAGTCGTTTGGCGTGGGACGAACTCTCAGAAAGCTCTGCTGGAATGGCAGGTGGACCAAGGTTACATCCCTTCAGAGGTAGTTGGACACTGGTGGTGAAATAATCAAAGATCACAAAGACCCCTCTGCGACTGCGAACCGCGCCACTCAGGACTTCATAGTAACTAGACCTACTAGGAGTAGCAGGACTCTAAAGCTGTGTCTGGGTCATTACGAGGCCCTGGTGAAGAACAGCTCGACAAGCTTGTGAGTAAATTTCAACATCGAATGCAAAGGTTCTCGTTGGAAGGATATACGTCCATATACACCGTATCCCCAGGACCAGTAGAGTGGGACCAGGTTTACGAGCATATCAGCGTCATCTTTCGGGCAGACTTCATTTACCAACCCCACGTCGCCCAAGCTCGTTTCATCCTATATCGCTACCAAGTCATCATCAACTACTACGAGAGGCTCGAGTACCAGCTGCACCGCATAGTCAGGGAAGCTCCCAGACAGCTCGAACCCGTAGAAGACGACCAGAAGCTGTATCACCTCTTGTTCGATAACGAGTACGGCATTTCCTCCAGCGACGAAGAAGAACCTTTCTGAACAGGTCGCCAAAACCCCGACCAGGTACCAACACCGAACATGGCCGAAATCGCGCAATCTGAACATTCCGTGGAAGGACACCTAAATCCCGAGGGTCCAGAACCCGGAGCATCCACTCTGTCATCATTCAACAACACCAACATCCTTGCTCCCACTCCCCGATACTTTATGACACCAGCAATGTTAGAAGCGCTTCCCAGGAGAAGGGGGTCTTCGGCGAGGCTGGCGGATGAATTCGCCACTCTCTATCCCAATGAGCCAAGAACAGGGAGGCGATTCCATCAATGGGAATACGACATCCGAGCTCGAGATCACTCAGAAGAGGATCGACAGTGATATCGGACACAACCAGTAGATGTGGTGGCAAGGCATGGAGGAGCGGTAAGGGGACAGGACTATGTCTGGTCAAGTCACGCTTCAGGAACTCCGCCAGGGTATGAGCGATACAGGCTCCCCGACAATAGGCAGAGTTACTACTTGGCACGGCCCGGTCTTCTCCCACCAATGGAGGAAACCCCCGGTTTCTGGACTCAACCTGTGGACATGCGCCGTGCGTACAGGCACCTCCAAAATGACTACAATCGCCTACTCAGCAGACTTGACGCTGCGCGAAGGGAGGTAGCTGAAGCACGGGAAGGGTGACTGGCTGTCGAAGCGACCCGAGATCGTCTTATGAGACAAATCGGTGAACACACGGCCACACAAATAGAGCACGGCAACCAGATCCACAAACTAACGATGGAACTGGAAGCTGCCAAGAAAGCGCTCAAGTCCAGTGAGGAAAGGGTAAAGGGTCTAGAAGGCATCAATGAGACCCAGAAAACCCGAATCAACCTCCTGGAAGCCCTATCTATATAACCCGGGCCGAATGTAACATTCGGCCTTCCTCCGTGCGCACCTCCTAGCTCCTCGAGATCATGTCCTATCCTCTTGAAAACAATCTCATTTGAAAGCTCTGCTTCGATTCTCGGGGTTGCAAAAGGGTCGCAATCATTCGACGCGATGGATCATGCGCGAAAGCTTGCGCAATCAGGTAAGTTTTTGCATTCTGTCAACTGTGACTAGAATATTTCTAAAAACTTGAGCAAGTGCTCTAAATTCCGTTTTTTTTTTGCGACCCCTAGGAATGCATATCCTCCTCATCATATCATTATTTCAAGTATTATCACTGTCCGGTTTGTTTTCTATGCATTGTTCTTTGAGCTCGCTCGATAAGCGCCCGTTCAGCGCGTAGCTCATTTTATTTTTTTCTCGCCGTACATCCACTCTATCCCCTAGGCGCTGCTTGCGACCTCTCGCTATACCATTCACCTATATGTATGCCAAGAATCTCCGCGAATGGAGCCCTTTGCGACCCTCCAGGACCTGTACTTAGATCCGCTCTTGCTGCCGCTTTCACTTCCCAATCGGGGACTCGCGCCTGTTCCCACTTCTCACCTCTCGCCTCTCGCCTCTCTATCTCGGACCTCAGCCTTCCTCACCGCGCATTCCTTGACATTTTCAAGTATCGTACGTGACCTTGAAGGGCGGAGAGGCTGTTGTTCATATGTGCGGTCGGACGTTGAGGTCGTCAGGTAAGTTATCATTTCAGACTCGCAAAGCTAACAACATTTTGCTTTTTTACCAGTCTCGATGACCGACCGCACTGTGTTGTTCACGGTGCGGTCTCTAGTCGATCTTTCTCCTCTTTCCTCCTCTGGAAATCTGAGTTGTACTCGGAAATCCACGCACTTTTCAACCTTAGACTTCGGTAAGAACGTGGTCGCTCTTCCCCAGCGTGCCGTCTTCGACTTCGCGGCAACTACGAGCATGCCCACGCGTACTGAACGGTCACGGTCCTCTCTGTTGCCCACGGCATACGAATGCGAGCCCGCGCTGTCGTTCACCCCGAACCATCGCCCTTCCAGCGCCCAACGCATCAAGCTGTCCATGCAGACCCACCCCATCTGCCGCCCACTCCCTTGCCCAATCACTGTGGCTCACGAATGCTCGAACGTATGCAGGAGATGTCAACCCAGTGGTGGCGGCACTCCAGGAGGAGGGAGGGAGGGTTGGATGGCATTGGATGGGTGCCGTAGGTGAGTCGCGGTCACCCTGTATCGTGCGTCGCCCCAGGACGCATAGATTTACCTTCCAGTCTCCCTGCCTCTCGTTTGATCAACCCACTGCCATCTGCCGACCTCGATGGCATGTGCGAATGAGCCTACGCAAGGCATCGTGTGCCCGCACTCTGCGTATCCATTCTCTTCTCGCCCTTCTACAGCGGCCAGGAGCGTGCGCGCGTCCTTCACCACCACGGCACGCGAACCGGCCGC